GATGTAGGCTTACTCCACTCACACAGTTTCATATGTAAATATGATGGATCTTGAGAAACTCACGAATCTGTACACCAATAGATTGACGGTTGAAAGGCGGAACCAAAGAGCCAAAGCTAAACCCACCGCATGCACAACAAGGCGAGTTCAGACACATTTCTTTAACATACAATTATAGCGTAGTTAATAGAAACACAAACACATCGTAAGTCACCCCTTTGGGTACTATTCTGAGGTTCCAAGTATACCTCTCACGATGGCTCCTATGAGGTGTGTCAGGGTTCACCCCCTTCCAACCTGTGGTTGAGATCGTCCCACGGGTCTCAGCCCTTCAGTACCAGGCGCCACTGCTCGCCCTTGGGCTCCCCCAGTCAACTAAGGGCTGGCCTTATACACCCCTAGCGAGTGGGGAGGTTCAAGCTTCTTATAACTCACTTAAACCTGCCTGTCCTGACACTGGAATGCTTTCTTCTTCTTTATCTGGTCTACTCAGGTCGCCAGCTGGGTGTTTATGCTCGTGTCTCAGCAACACGTCAGTGGTCTTAATGGTTATCTTGATCAATGATGCAATATCAAGTGAAGTACAAGGTGTCACTAATGGTCTCATAAATATATATATAGCCCTAGAGAATGGAGGCTCACTTAAACTACTCAGTTAGTTTTAAAGTTTACTGAAGAAAAACATATATACACATATAAATGGCATAAGGAAATGTCTATGTTTGGAATCATCCGCTGGCGGCAACACGGTCAGCTGACTGGGTCCACTCCTCCAGCGCGGGCACACACCTCACGCCTCTGGCAACACAATCAGCTGACAGCTCCAGCTGTCAGAACGTCGTGACTTTCCCACGCCTCCAGCAATGCGATCAGCTGTGCATTTCAGAGTACGTTTCTGGCTCCTTGCACACCAACTACCCTTCCAGGATCACTAACATCCCCGCCTTGATGCTCACACACACCAACTCATGCCTAAATAAGTTTTTGGCTCCTAGCCTAACGTCCTGTCACTTAGACAATAAAATGATGAGTGGAAATATTCACAACATATAAAATACTCTAACTCGCCTAGCTCAAAAAGGGGTAAGGGAGGGACAATTATCTACCTTATTAGGGGTAACTCGAGTAGATGACAATTCGTTACTCTCATACCTTTATGGGAAAGGTATAAAAGATGAAGCACAAAAGTGTAAGCAAGTGTCCGGGACATATAAATTAAGCACACTCAAAAATCAACTGGAATGAAAAAATGCCGTATCAGAAAATTAACATCAGGTCAAAGATATGAAGTATTGATTGACAAACCACCTTGATATAAATATCCAAATTATAATGATTATGTATGCAGGCGATGAGTCACTATAACGTGGCTGAAGAATGTTGACCAGATCACACACTAGAAGGTGAAGGGACGACGACGGTTCGGTCTGTCCTGGACCATTCTCAAGTCGACAATCGACTTGAGAATGGTCCAGGACGGACCGAAACGTCGTCGTCCCTTCACCTTCTAGTGTGTGGTCTGGTCAACATGATTATGTAGGTAAGATGATAATGTTGTAACTACTTGGATTTATGTTAATAGTTACATGACAGTTGTACACGGTAGGAGGGTATTCCCACCTAGAGAAGCAGCCGGGAGTAATTGGGTGGGAGTGAGCGAGGGGCGAGGCGACCTCTCTCATCAACACGTAATAAACACCTGATATACCAATAAAATATATTAGCAATTAGTATGTTACAAGCTAGTGCTCTTAGATGAAACAAGAATGATGAGCTGAATCAATATAGAGAATGATAGTAGAAAACTCAAGAAAAACCTTGAGCAAATTTTATAGCTTCATTGGAATGATGGCTACTTGACGATAATCCAGAGAAGTTAGTACAAGATGATGATGATGAGATAAAAAGGTAGTGAGTAACAAATATAAGAAAAGACATGGTTTCTTCATTACGCATTTCTGGACAGCCAGGAAATCTTTAGACAAAGTTCCATACAAGAGACCCACAAACTTGAGAGGCAGGCAAGAAGAACACTGACATTGGTAAGAGAGTACCTTATAGACAGGAGCCAGAGAGTTAAAGTGAGGAGCAAAATGTAGTACTGACGTAGAGTGAGATGCACAGTAAATCATTTGTGTTAATACCCTAACATCAGAAGTTAACTCCTATAAGTTAGTGTTTCCGGGCAATGCAAACTTAATGAGAAGAGTCGAGACGGATGAAGATTGTAGGACACTCCGTGTTAACAAGCTACAGAATTGGTTCGATAAAGGTAGCAAAGAGTGAACATAACACTAAGCCAACATCTGGAGGAACAGTGAAACAGGAGAACATCAGCCTCATACTGTAGTAAAATTCAAAACATCATTCAGGAACCTAAATAAGAAGTCATTTAGATAACTGCACATTCCCTATGCGAGACCAATTGTGATTATTCTACCCTATTGGTGAGTTCCATCTAAAGATTACACAAAATATAACTATGAAAGATACTGAAGCTTGATGACCAAATCGAACATCAGAAAATGGAGAAACGATGATGTTTCGGTCCGTCTTGGACCATTATCAAGTCGTGTGACAGAAGAGATTCATTGATTGATGATTGATGAAGATTAAGCAACCCAATAGGTGGCACGGGCATGAGTAGCCCGTAAATAAAAGAGAAGAAAGTACTGGCAAATAAATAAAGAAAGAGCGTGAGGTAAGGAGCAGGTAAAAGAAAATGGAAAGAGTAAGATGAAAGGTAAGAATTGGATTAATGGTAAGAATGGGATGAATGTACGAATGGGACGAAGTAAGAAAAAGTGGATGGTTATAGGAAAAGTAAAAACAAGAAAAGGAGTAAGAATAAGAGAAAAAGGCAAAGCTTAAGTCAGGTCACGTTAGTTAAGAAGGTTGGAGCAATTGAGTATGTGTTGTGAAAGGGAAGAGTCAATAGCAACAAAGCCAGGACTAAGGTTCATGTTGGGTCGGTTGTGTATCAGAGCCGAGTCAACAAGATGGCGTCTGTGAAGAGTAGAGGCAGAAAATTTTATTTTAGAAGAAGACCAATCAATAGGATGATTATAGTCCCTAACATGATAGAAGAGATCATTGTTTGTGTCTGCAGACTTAGCACTTCTTTGTGTTCCTTAAGTATGTCATTTAATGTACGGGCAGCTCCCCCTAGGTAGGGAGGGAGCCGGTCGGCCGAGCGGACAGCACACTGGACTTGTGATCCTGTGGTCCCGGGTTCAATCCCGGGCGCCGACGAGAAACAATGGGCAGAGTTTCTTTCACCCTATGCCCCTGTTACCAAGCAGTAAAATAGGTACCTGGGTGTTAGTCGGCTGTCACGGGCTGCTTCCTGGGGGTGGAGGCCTGGTAGAGGACCGGGCCGCGGGGACACTAAAAAAGCCCCGAAATCATCTCAAGATAACCTCAAGATAGGTATTGGAGAGGACAAGACGAACATGAGATAGAGAAGACACCAGCAGCATTAGAAGCAGGAAGAGCAATGGGAACCAGATTACTACGAACAGTGTTAGTTTGTCGAAAGGCGAGCTTTATGTCAAGAGGACGAAGGGTATTAATGAGATTTTTGAGTTCAGATATTAAGGGAAAGCAGAGTACAGTTGTTCTAGTGCTGGAAACAAGTTTGTGATGAAAGAAATTTCGTTTAGCTTATGAATAGGCGCAGTTAATAAAATGTAAGGAGTTACCAAGGCGAGAGAAAGACGTAAATAAAAGACAAATCATAATAAAGAAACTGAGCGTCACTGATGCGTAGAACCCCGGTTAACACAGGAAATACTGCGCTCTATCTTCCCTTCATATCTGAACTCAAAAATCTCACTAATACCCTTCATATCAAACTCACCTTCCGACGAACTCTCTTCGTAGAAATCTGGTTCCCACTGCTCCTCCTAATGCCAGTGCTGCTGTGTCTAGTCTATTTCCTGTTCATCTTGTCCTCTCCAGTACAGAATAGGTTAATTTCCAACAATGTTTGCTGATGATACAAAAATTTCGAGAAAAATTCAGGCAGAGAGAGATGCTAGTAGACTATCAAAAGACTTGGACAAATTGACAGAATGATCCAACAAATGACTATTAGAGTTTAACTCAAGTTAATGTAAAGAAACTAGGTATAGGGAGCAGGAAGCCGGACACAAGATAATAATTTGAGATGAATCCTTCAGAAATCGGGAAGAAAAAACATCTGTGAATTGGCATCCCACCAATCCACTTCAGAACATGTCTTTTGAAGCCCACTTCTAAAAGATATCGTTAGCTGCATATGCTAGGTTGGCCATCATTTCTAATGAAGTGCCTTTGGAAATCTGAGTAAGTAATCATTCAGAACTTTGCATCACATATGTTAGACTAATCCTAAAGAATGCGGCTCCTAAGATTTACCACCTGAATTACCCCAGAAATGGGAGGTAAGATCCCCTTAGCTGGAAGAAAGAAAGTTAAGGAAGACATGATTACCACATACAATATTCTCGTGGGAATTTGTAGAGGTAGAAAAGGACAGATCCTTTAGCAATAGTGTTATTCGCCCACGCGGTCACAGGTAGAAATAGAATACCCAAATGAGCGGCAGAGTCATAAGAAATAATTCTTTCAGTTTCAGAGTAGTGAGCAAATGGAATGCACTAAGAAGGTAGGGAGTGTAGGTAGTGCACATGCAGAGTGTCAATTGGGAATGTGATAGAGCCCACTGGACTCAGGCCACTGTACACCAGTTGACTGATAGTTGAAAAGTTGCTGAAGTGCCGAAGGTCAACCCTCAAAAGAACAATCAAGTGTGCCTTTAATTGTACTCATCACACACATTAACTTCTTATGAGATTGTCATCACATGAAAAAATATAGAAACGAATTAAAAGATGAAATTCCGACCTAGAAAACTGTATGACATAAATTCGTCCAACATTCACATCAGTAAACCATCAAACACATCACTCTTGTACATGGTGTAACATGATCTTTGTTGATATGTAATTTCCTTTAAGTCTGTGAAGTCCGGCATGTTCCACGAGGTGGCGGAGGCGGAGACCAAGGGTCGCATTAAGTACAAGCTGTTGTCGGAGTTCCGTCAGGCCATCAACACGCTAGTGAGGCGGGGCGACCACGTCCTCATGGACCTGGAGATCGTCATAACTATGTTCATCGGACTGGACTTCTCTCACACAGGTGATCTGACGATGAGGTATCGTACTGAAGTGATCACAAGAAATGATAAAGCACATGCACCCACACACATGAATATTTAATTACTTTAAGTCTTCAAGGATTCGAGTTTGGGACTCACAAGTGCGAGTCTAGTACTCAAAAGTATTAGACCCTGAATGTGCTCAATAAGGATCTCAGAATTACCTAACTGATACCCAATAGAGACTTTAAAATCTTTACTAGAGCACCAATAGGATATATCTGGAGTTCGAATCCCCCCATTGATACAACTTAATGAAGCATTATTTCCAACCTGTCCTCATGGAGGAAATGCACTTAAGGGGATTAGGAACATCTACATAATGGTGCTATTATCTATCATCCATGGTTATGTTCTTAGATTGCTTTAGGATAGTGTTTGGTTAGGTTTCATTACATTTGGTTACTTTAATACAGTGTATTATTGACGATAATATGAAAAATGAAAATCAAAAACTTTTTTAATATACCAATGAGTTCCATATACAAAAAAGCAAATTATGCAAAGAAAATGTCTTCAGCATATATTTTTTTATTTTTTAAACCAACGATTTATTAGATAAGAAAGTTATAACTTTAGAATAATCTCTGTTCTGGACTTAGATATCCTTTCAGACAATCATAAATATCTAGAAAACTATCCAGGTGATTTGGGAATTATGGTTTCTCTCAGTATATGCTGTGAGGACTTGCTTGTTCTTTCCTATGTTGTTGCTGCAGCCTACCTCATCAACAAAGGCTAAATACTCAACAGTAGGCAATTTTTATGTTAAAGTGATTCAAATTACTGACCAGCTGCCCTGCTTAAGCACCTGGATATTTATGTTTATATGTGTGATGATCTGAAAGCATATTATGGTTACAATATAGTCTACTTATAAATTAGCAAGTGAACCTTCGCCCTAAACAGAGAATATTCTGAATTTATAAATTTATTGGTTTATATTTCGTTGGTTTATAAAATGAAAAGTCTTTGCTTAATTCGTTTTATTTGTAAAATAAAGAATTTGTAAGATTCCAGATTCCAAAAGGAAGATTTGAATTCTTCATTAAATGAAGAATTTGGCTTTCTGTAAATGAAATTATAGGGAACAATCATATGGTTTTCAAATGTCATATTTCACAAGTTTGAGAATAACGCACCATATTAACATATTAAAACCTAATAAAACCTAACCTAATCTAACCAGACCTAACCTAAGGATTGGGAATAGATAATACCATTAATTGCATAGTGGTTTCAGTGGCATGGGAAAATAGGATGGAAGTACTGTGTCACAGCAAGGTGATAGCTCCTACACTATCATACAGTATGAAACGCCTATTTTTATATCATTTTAATTAAAATTGTCCGAATTCAGCAGTTATAAATATATTAAAAATAACACACAAAGATCTTTTGTTACTTCATATCTGTTAGTTGCCTATTATTCTAGTGTGAGGTAGATGCTGTAAGTGTCGGGGAGGGGGGGGATTAAAGCTCAGCGGGTCTTATGGATGAGCCGCTACTAGAGGTTATGAAGTTATTACCTCCAGGGTAGCTCCTCCCAGGGGATAGGTTGCTATAATCTACTTGCCAGCCATGATCATGAATTAAAGACACTTTTCACATGATTCACAACATATGGAGATTGAACATTTCTCAAACAATACTTCACTGACAACTTGTTCAAATTAAAACTGTTATAATTATTCCCTCCGTGTACTACAAATATAAATAGTTCCCAACAGAACCTAAACACCTAACCTACACCTAAATATGCCCATTATGTTAATATATAATTATATTAATTTAAATTTTAGAACATTTGCATTATTTAATGAACATTATGATAAAATTTCTGAACCCGTCTTAGTGTACGAAATGGCCAGTGCATGGAATGAACTTAGGATGGGTTTGTATTTCCATGTACTACAAATACAAATAATTGTCAACTTGAACACTTACCCTACCCCTACCCTCATTTAGGCATAACTATACACCAAATTGTAATATATAATAATGTTAATTTTTATATAAAACAAACTAATTTTCAAAACACCGTTAAAATTGTTCACAGCATCTTTGTGGTCAGCTGCTGTATAGATGAGAAATGTCTGAGAATGGGTTGTATTGCTGTCAGCAATGTATATGACAAGGATGAAGTGGTGAAAAGCTTCTAGATACTGTCGTGATCCCGGACTTCCTGAGGGGGTTGGGGGCTAATGGAGCTTAGACCTCCAAAGCTCTCTGGCTACTGTGCCAGACCGTTCCTTTCCTTTGCGTACAGGTAAACAAAGTTCCCCCAACCACTCTCTGCCAGAACGGACAAATGACCTCGGAAGCCACACACTCGCTACCGCCAGTCGACCAACCAAAAAACTGTAGAGTGCTTATATTCTGACCAGGAGATCACCCTGTACGTTTCCTGATCTTGGAGAGGGGTTCAGCATCACACGTTTAGGGAGGTGTGGCTCCAACACTGGCCTCGTTGTCCTGTGTACACACCCAACTCGAGCCGCCATGACTCCCCACTTTCTCCTTGGTTGATCTCCACAACCCCCTTTTCTGAACTATTATTATTCCGTACCACCCTGTCCACAGCTGTGGTTCTCTCTCTCTCTCTCTTTTCTACTTTTTGAGAAGCCTCACTAGGACAAGGGCAAACACCTCTTAATTATAAACATTTAATACGACAAAGAACATATACAACACACTTACATACAATACATAGGAATATAAACCTCTACACTTTATGACACTATAACCTGGCTGCAGTCCAATACCGTCATGGCTCTATCCGCCGTCTATATCAAGTGGTAGCCCAACTCCTGGCTCGCTATTTATATAATCAACCTCACCAAGTGGATTAAATCTCGTAATACAATATGGCACAATCAGCCCTAGAATGTATATAAATACATATACAGGTAACTCAGCCTATGGCTGTGACACTATGAACATCAATATATATATTCCTTGATACAAAAATGACCACTCACCCACCTTCCACTGCGTCTTGCACGCCAATGACACTCAAGCACTCTACCAACTCTCTATCAGTAATCAATAAGAACCTCCTCTCTGCATCCAGAGGTTCACTACCCTGAACATCTTCAGGTTCTCCCAGAATTGTCTACCAGGGTCTTCTACAGCTCTTCCGGTTGCTACACCATGAAGTTTTCCTTGAACAGCAATGATGCTTCACCACTGGTACCACAGAAGCACGTTAAACTTAACTTCACTGTTCCTCCTCGTATAGCTTGAGGTCCAACTCCTCACTATGGGGTTGCCACAGGGCTCAGTACCCCTTCCACAGCCTTGGAGTTCCATCCACTACTCCTCCTCTGACCTCGAAGTTCTCTCAGCCTCCTGCACCATATCTCGTACCTGTGTTGCTACTCTGAGGCTCCCTCGCAGGCTCTCGAACGCTTACCTGGGCTTGGGACTTAATACTTGTGTGGTATGACTCACCAGGTCCATATCCACTCTTAACTTCCCCACGGCTCTTCCATGAGTGGTCTTCCCCCTATTGAGCCTCCCATCATGTTGGCGCTATGATTGACTTCCCCCCAAGAGCTAAACGCCTCCTCCAACATGTCTGCTCTGTCAGCTGCTGACCGCAAGTCCTTGTTGCCTGCTTCCCTTATCCTCCGCCTCGTTTCCGGGTGGAGTAGAGACATGAACATCACTACCATCAGCTGCTTCACGTCCTCAAAAGTCTCCACTTCCCCAGATTTCAGCCACTTGAGAAACCCACGATCCAGCTCCATGGCTGTCTTTGCAAAGGTCCTCCCTGGTGTTTGAGTGCATTCGCGAAATCTCTTACAGTATGACTCAGGTGTCAGTTGGAAGGAATGCTACACCGCACTCTTTAGTGCATCATAGTTTAGACATTCGTTTATGTCTGACATGTTTTAGGCCTTCATGGCCTCCAGTCAACCTACTCTGCACCAGTTCGCTCATCTTTTCAAGGTCGTAAACCTCTCAAAGTGGTCGAAGAAACTTTCTGCCTCCTGGGTTATGAATGTAGGTAGATCACATTCCCTAACATGGTGGTCGTTCCGGCAAACAGACTGCTGCATAAAACCGCTTTCTATATGTACCAGTTCAACTGTACATTTCGCTTGTACCTCTAATCTCTTTGTCCCTCTCTTGTTGAAGCTGCAGCTGGGCAGCATGCTCTCATCCTTCCCTCTGTAATCGATCTTCACGCTCCTCCCGCTTCTGCTGCGTTCCTCTTGCTGCCGCTGGATTTCACACTCCCTTTCCTCTCACTGCAGCCACTCTTGTTGATCTCGTTCTTCTCTCTCTGTAGCTACATTTGCCATTCCTCTTGGTGCACATCCACCTACAGTCGCAACATCTCCAGTTTCACGCTCTTCCGATTTCCGCTTGAGCTCACACTGCTCCTGTCGTTACTTTGTGCTTTCCCAGAACCGGCAGGTTCTTTAGACTGTTCATGCCAAAGGGTCTCATCACGTGTGCTGAGCTGAGCAACAATCTCCAACCGCCTCTGAGCTACCCTAGACGGCGTAAGTCTTATGCCAAAGTCTGCTACTTGTCAAAACTGGTCCTTAGTGCAGCTCTCCAGCACACCTTCGTCTCGCAATTCGATAAACTCAGCCACCTTATTACCCTTCATTTTCTCTCTTCTATGTAGTCCAAACGAATATTGAACACCAGTCAACTACACTGGAACCCCAGTAAGTTAATCCTGGCAAGGTCACTGTTACTAACTCGTACACAAAGCTCGTATATCAGGGGACAGTGGTATGAATAGTCTAGGTAAATCACTGTCTTTAAAGCACGATACAACAGAGTGCCCCTTAAGCTAGTACAAAAATATAAATATCACAAAAATAGGATATAGAAACATGCACAAGCAATATATATATAAATATATATATATTTATTATTTTCTGGTTTAGGGCTTCTATCCCTCTAACTATTTTCTTAGCATCAGGGCTTAATTGGAATAGGAGTTCTCCAAAACTCATTT